AGCCCGGGCTTGCTTCAAGCTTATGATTCTCTTGCCTCTGCTTCCAGAGTATTGGGATTACAGAAGTACACCACCACATCAGCCTGAAACCCTTTATTGAGAAACCCCCCCTGGCCCCAAGATCTGAATTTGAGACCAGCAAAGGTGGGGTAAGCCTCTTAACCCAGAATTACTTCCCTAAGACAGAACTTTTCTACCCAATGAGCCTGTGGGGCTCGTTTTGGAGATCTTTCTCCTGGTGAAGATGAAAGGTGCAGTCCTGACCAGCTGGGAGGCAGTGCTAGCAAGCTGGAGGTCCTGCAGTGGGAGGGTAGACTAGCAGAAAGGTGGCCATGAGGCTAGATGTAGGAAAAATTTTGCCATCAACAGCCTGGCACAGTGTCTCATGTGCTAAAAACATCTGCTGAGAGACTGAATGATAAATCAGGGTGAACTAGAAGATGCGGGGAGGGGCAGGCACAAAAGTGGCAGGTCTTGTGGGGGCTGGAGTATGAGGGAGTTGTGAAAGATTGATTTTTTTCCTCCTTTGCTGTGTGTTCCTGGCTAGTGTGAAACTAAAGACAGAATTTGTGTTTTCTGAGGGCTTGGGCTGGTCAAGCTTGTTGATCTAGATCCACAGGAGGCAATCTGTTTAATGACTGTAGAGCTAGGGGCAGCCACAGAGTCTGAAGCTGCCTGTCCTCTCCTGGAGATGACTGTGTGGATGATTCATGTTCTGCTGCCCCCTCACTATTGCAGCCTAAAACCACACATCCCAGGATATGGAGACAGTGAGCCGACCCTTCTTCAGCTTCAGGATCTTCATTATACATAGTTCTTGAGTTTCATCCCTGTTTTAAGAGCTGAGAAAGTTAAGCCTTAGAGAAAACAGGGAGTCCCAGTTTTAGTCTCCTTAGAGGTCTTTCTTAGGCCTGTTCAAAGGAGAACCAGAAATGTCTAGACCATTTCTGGCTATAAGAACTGGGCTCCTCTTTCTCCTGTCTGGGTCCTCTGCCACATCATACCTACATATGTGAACATAAAACCATGGGAAGAGACCAGGTGACGAGCAGCCAGTGAGAGACACATAAAATCTGGAGTGGGTGAGCCAACTCCAGAACTCCAGTTTGCAGAGACATGGACTGCCAGTTTGCCTGGCACAACCAAAATCCAGCTCCTTCTTGCAGGGGGATACCAGCCTTGCCTTGTGCACCTTTACATCAAAGCTTGTCTGTCTGGGTACTTGAAAGCATCCCTACCCCACTCTTAGGTTCCAAGCTGCCCCTGAACCTATAGAGAGCAGTCTTGGACACTGGGTGCCTAGTCCTATTCAATGGAGAGTGAGGAAATGAGAAATATCTGGAGAAGAGAGACTAGCAGCAACCAAAGTAGGTGGGGAAGTGGTGGTAACATGGGGTCTTTCCTTGAAACATTATTTTGAACCTAGTTCCTGTAGTTGACCACCTGTAGTCAACTATCTTGTTTGCCAGACAGGTTTCCTTCCTTGAGAAGACTCAAGAGAACTGAGTTTTCAGTAACTCTAAGATAGGGTCAGGCCACAGTTTTATTTATGGACAGAGCATGTGCACTGGTTTCCTGTCTCTTCCTACCCTTGGGAAACTGGAGCCAATCTTGGAGACAGGTCTCCTAGAAATGCCCTTTTGTTTTCCAAGAGGGTTTGAGCTTAAAATATAGGCTATAAATGCAACAGTTAATAAAAATAAGGAAGAAAGAAGGGGGAAGTAAATGTGTTAACTTAAGTGCAAATAAGAGTTAACACCTAGAGCTATCATATGTGGATCTGTACTTATTGGCATCATGGGAAAAAGCACTTATAACTTCAAGTTTAGGTTCTTTACTGACTTAACTGTAGCTTTATTCCCTGCACCTCAGTTTCTTCACCTGCAAAATAAGGTGAAAGCATTGCCTTAGAGATAGTTGAGTGTATCATATGAAATAATACATGCAGAGGACTTGAAATAGTGCCTGGCAGGTAGTGAGCCTTCAGTTACATTGCAGACATATTATTCCTTCATTTATTTGGGGAAGGGGAGTGGACTGGCAGGTAGAAAGGAGGTAGTTCTCCCTTACTGGAAGGCTCCTACTTTCTCTTCCCTGGGTGTTCTCTGCTGTCTGCTCCCATCCAAGTCCTCATGGACAGCTTCTGGAACTGCCTACGTTCCCAATTTGGGCTGTACAATGTTCTTGTGCCCATTTGAATTTCCCCTCTTCCCAGCAGCCTTTTTCCAGGATGCCTACTTCATGCAAACTGATGATGACCTCAGATGTATTTCTTTGACTGCAAGTCTCTCTGAGCTCAGAAAATACACATGTGGTATCGTCCCCTCCTTTTGTCTGGACTTCCACAGGTCAGCCTTCCCAGCTCTTGGCAGCTCAACTCCACTGAGTTAGTGAGAAATGGAAATATTCCAAGAAAAGTCCAAACCCACAGAGCCTGGCTTGGCGTTCTGCAGTTTGTGGTAGACTGTCTTATTTTGTCCTCTGAGGGTGAGGGACCATAGGCGCAGTAGCAGTGACTCACCAAAGATCCTGTGGGCAGTCAGGGTCTGGGCCAGGTCAGTGAGACTATTCATATGCTACGTACCACAACAGTGCCCATCTCTCTCTGGCAGTAGCATGATTTGTACAGCCCCCTCACTCTCTATAAGCATTGGGAGAAGTTTGCAAGAGCTTGGCTCAGATGGCTGGGAAAGGAGGGTGGTGTGTGGTCACCTGACATAGATTGCACTTTAAACATAGGCTCTGCAGTCAGCCCTCAGCTAGTTGTTGAATAAAGGATAAGAGTGCCTAGGTGTGCTAGACACTCTTTAGAATGGCTTTGTAGCTGCTGACTCATTTAGAATTCCCAACAGCCCTGGGAAGCAGGGACTCTTCCATTTCTCCCTTTTAAGTATTTGCCCTTGTTCACAATTAGTGAGTAGGGCAGCAAATAGTTTGATTTCACAGTCTGACTTTTGCCACTAATTGGCCTCCAGTATCTTAGAGCATGTTTGTACCAAAGGAATTAGATTACCTTTAGGCTCCCTGACCTCTTTCCTCAGTGTTCAGCAAGGCTGGAACTAATGCCATTTGTGCATGAGCTGGGGTGAGGGATCATCCTCATACCCCTTCTTTCTTTTCCATTTTAGGGCACTCTATAACTTCTCTCCAGAGGTAGAGCCCGATTTCTCTTCCCCTGCAGAGCATAAAAATGTCCCAACCAAGGCAAGTCCAGATTTCTGACCACTGTACCCCACTGATTGTCTCTTTGAACCTTAGCACTCTCGCACTGCCCCTGCACTCCAGGGGCCTGGATTGTGCTTTTGCACCTTGATAAATATTATTCACATGACTGCCCCATCCTGGTTGTCCAGCAAGTGTTTGCCAACTTCAAAAGCAACTACCACAGACCAGCAACATGCCTGTGAACAGACTGAAAAACACATAGTGGGGAAGGTTCTAGGCAATTTCCTTACAAATAATTACTTTGAAATTATTGTTTTAATTGGCAGAATGCTAAGGACTTTTAACAGATCAGTCCTTTTATTCAATGTTTTTATAACCTTGAAATGAAATAAAGGTGCACAGAGTATTACTTTCAAAGGTGCCAGAATTCCAATCCAGGGTCAGCTCTGGGATATGAACTTCCATTTTTCAGGCATGACCTTGGAACCTAGAGCTTTTTATAATTTATACAACTGGTAGGTGTTACAGGTAGAAGACACTCAGTTGGTTTAAGCCTCTATAGATAACTCAATTTACATTTTGTTTCTTTACTCAGTGCCCTGCTGTTGGAGATAGCAAAAATGTGGGGAGGGCTCCAGAGCATTCTAAACCTGGTAAATATTTCTGGGTGGAATATTTTAATCTAGCTACAATCCTAACAAGAGATCATCATCTTTTAGTTTAAGCCATAAAACGAAAAACCCCAAAAGATGCAGAACAAATCTTATTAATGTCAAAATTACACTATTTACCATGTGGGGAACCAGGAAGCAATCTTTATCTCAAAAGGATAGGAAAGCTTCCAGGATGCGACGAGAACATCCTCTTCCACTGTTTTCTAATCCTGAAACAGGCATATTAATGCAAAGAGGAGATTAGCATTTCCTGAAGCCCTACTGAGTTCAGTCACATTCACTCAGTTTTAACTCATTTAGTTCCGGCCACGAAGAATGTACTGACTGCTAATACTTTACATTCCAGAGAAAGCTGTCTGAGGCACAGGATTTGCTCAAGGTGACACACTGCAGCGAAAGTCAGAATATGAATTCCAAGTAATGTCCTTTCCCTGCGCCACAGTTGCCGCGGGGAAATGAATGACCCACAGCTATCCTGTAGCTCTGTGCCATAACTGGGGACGCAAGCCGGTTCTCGTGACTCTTCAATCTTTCAGTTTTCACCCAAGTGTATGACTGCGGGAGCAAAGCGACCACGTGAGCCTCCCCCCCCCACTCCCCTTCCGCCAGGCGAGGGACAGAATCTGCTGGCCAAGGGCAAGTCGTAAGTGCGACATGACTAGCTTCCGAGCTCTAGCTCACAAGCTCCCCCGCATCGTCACCGAGGGTACAGGAGGGAACTCAGCCAGACGTGGCTCCCCAGATGCGGCTAACTGCGCTGAGAGGCTCAAGGTGCGGCCGGCACTGCAAAACTGGGCCAGAGTGGGAGAAAACAGAAAATAACCTTGATTGCGGCCTCTGTACCGCCGCATGATGACCTCAGGGGCCCAGCGAGAGTCCCCCGCGTTGTCCGCCAGTAACCAGCCAGCACTGCCACTCGATGCCAGGATACCCGGGCGAGGCCAGAGGGAGGGACCGGTCCGTCCCACGTGGACTAGCTCCCCCCCTTGGGGGCGTGGCCACAGATGCGGCCAGACCAATGAACAAGAGGGTCGGGCTCATCCTGCAGGGCATGCGGGACCGAGGGGGGAATACGTCATCCAGGGAGGCGAGGCTCCTGGCCGGGGCGAGGCGCGGCAGGTCACGCGGGTCGCGGCGCCGGCTATAAGTAAGAGCCGGCAGTGTGCTCTGCCAGAGTGATGGCTGCCGGCGCGCGCTGCCTGTTTCCTCTTTTCACTTGCTGAGGAGCCCGCAGCTGCTTCCCAGGGGGGTCGCGAGCCCCGCCGAGCCGCTCCGGTATTGCTGTCCTGGTCATCTCGCCAGCCGCAGGTGCGTGCGTCCGAGGCTCTCGCCTGCCGCCGCAGCCTCGATCTCGTCTTCGCTCTGCCCTCCGTTTCCTCTGGTGAGTGGCGGCCCCGCCTGGTAAAGGCTCTTTCTTCTCCACGAGGCCGAGCGCCGACGCTTGTGGCGTGGGAGGCAGCCAGCGGCTCCTTGCTCCGCTGCTGTCCGCCTCCCTCCCCCACTCCGCCCGCTCGCGGGCCTTTTTGGCGGTCTCAGGGAGGCGCGCGCGGGAATGGCCGTTTTCCGGTTATCACGCGGAGGGCGCGCGCGGGTCGGCGCGCAGGGGAGGGGGTGTAGGCACTTAGGGCGCCACGTGCCCCGCCTCGCTGGTCTGGCAGGGGACAGCGGACCGAGGCAGTGGGCGGAGGGCACGGCAGGGTCCAGGCCTCGTGGGCAAAGCGGGCTGCCGGACTGTCTCCCTTCCCTCCCTCCAGGGACGCGATGCTATTGTTGCTTTTTTCTCCCTCGCCCCCCAGGATGAACTTGCGTCCTTTCTCTAATCCGCCATGGAATTCTGCTCCGAGCTTTTAGCCCTCCAGAGCCAAAGAAACCCCAGACAACAGACGCCCTTACGCAGCGTATAGCAGTAACTCCCCAGCTCGGTTTCTGTGCCATAGTTTACAGTATTTAATTTTATATAATATATATTATTTATTATAGCATTTTTGATACCTCATATTCTGTTTACACATCTTGAAAGCCGTTCAATAATTCTCTTATTAATTAAGAAACCACTACTGTAGAGAATGGCATCTACCGTGGCACCGCTGATTACAACTACTGGTCCATTGGACTACCTATGGCTGCTCATCCTGGGCTTCATCATTGCGTTTGTTTTGGCATTCTCCGTGGGAGCCAATGATGTAGCAAATTCGTTTGGTACCGCTGTGGGCTCAGGTGTAGTGACCCTGAAGCAAGCCTGCATCCTAGCTAGCATCTTTGAAACAGTGGGCTCGGTCTTGCTGGGGGCCAAAGTGAGCGAAACCATCCGGAAGGGCTTGATTGACGTGGAGAAGTACAACTCGACCCAACCACAACTGCTGATGGCCGGCTCAGTCAGTGCTATGTTTGGTAAGTTCTTTTTATGCATTGTGCTCTTAGTGGTGGGTGAGGCAATTTATGTCTTGGGTGGTTCCATTTTGATGCTGAACCCTTCAGATTATTTCCTTCAGAATGCACTGCTTACATAATGGAGTTTTGTCATTTAATAAAATTTGACTGTTTCAGGTTCTGCTGTATGGCAACTAGTGGCTTCGTTTTTGAAGCTCCCCATTTCTGGGACCCATTGTATTGTCGGTGCAACCATTGGTTTCTCCCTCGTGGCAAAGGGGCAAGAGGGTGTCAAGTGGTCTGAACTGATAAAAATTGGTATGTTTAATTCTGAATGGGTTAATTTTTATTGTCATGTGCTGTCATGGTATTTATTACATATGAGAGTATATGGTGAAAATAGAGGGACAGATTTAAGAGTTTTGCAAGTAGAGCACTTAATAAAGTACATTTTTTTCTAAGTTTCTTTAAGTTAACTTTTTTTCTTAATGTATTCTATTCCAGTGATGTCTTGGTTCATCTCTCCACTGCTTTCTGGTATTATGTCTGGAATTTTATTCTTCATTGTTCGTGCATTCATCCTTCGTAAGGTAATCTTTCTCATCCCATCAATGACCTTTCATGGGTCTCATCCAATCTTACTCAAACACAGTGGCAGTCTTGCAGATGTGATTGGTATGTGGCCTTGGAAAGTTACAAAGTTATTTGTTCTATACACCTCTTGTATGTTATGGAGTTCTGTGAAAGAAGCAAGTTTTTAATACCCAAGAGGGCATTCAGGCAGGAAAAATTGGTTCTATGAGGTGTCAAGAACTTTGTGTATAGCCCTGTGCAATTATTACTTTATCTAAATCATCACTATATTTAGGACAATTGGAATTGTAAGCTTAGGGCTTAACAAGTCACAATTTCCTGTGACTTTCTAAGATGCCAGTTAAGTGAATCTGTACTGTGCTAATTATCATAACCAGTTTATAAGCTTTTAGATGAGTCCTCTACTTCCTGTAATGACTTCAGTTTCTCAGAATAGGTAAAAACAAACAGTACAGGTTTTTTTCTTTTTTTTTTTTTTTTTGCTGTTTTGTTCTTCCCTTGCAAAAAAAAAAAAAGTACAGGCAGCCATTAATTTTCTGAGTATTTGAAAATTTTTTGAGAGACCCAGTAGCATTTCTTTTGTCAGGAAGTCTGATGCTGGCTCCAATCTAAATGTGGATAACAAGTGATTATGTTGGCATTGGACTGAGTTACAGTAAGAATAAATGCACTTTTTTTAGGGAACAAAGTTGTCCTTTTTTCTCAGGTGAATGGCTCTTAAAGGTCCATTGTTAAGTTCTTTTTAAAAATACTCCTCAACTGTGGAAGGGAGAGAAGGGGGAGATTTGTGCCTTAGTTCCAAGCAGTAAGAATGTGTTCAGACCTTCCCACTTCTCTGGTCTGCTTCTAAGCTTCTCTGGGGAAGAATTGTCTATAGAAATTTTTGAACTGATAAAATGATTCGTTCTATTATCCATAGCCAGAGTCTGGCAGAACATAGCAGTTTAATGCTAAACATTTGAAACCTGTATAGCTTGGTACAATTTTCCAAAAGTAAACATTTCATTGATGACCATCTTAAGTTTGGTACTGCTTAATTCAACAAGCAGGACAAGCATCTACTACCCCCTACCCACAAGTGTAGTATATGATAATATACTTAAATTTTAGGCTCGCTAATAGTCAGGGCCAAGAGTTTTAATATCCCACTATGTAGCAGAGAATCAGAAGAATTAATAGGATCCACTGTTACAGATTCCTGCTTGGTAAAGATTTACACTGGTCCTTGATTATTGGGGAGTAGATCATTCTGGTTCTAAAGGGGAAAATGGTAGTATTCCAAAGTGGAAAGAGGGATTTTTGGGTGCCCAGACCTCTTGTTGGGAGAATGCATGCCAGGTACCTTTATCCCTGAGAGTATAAGCTAAATATGTTAATTGACTATTTCTTATATGAGTGTGATAATGGGCATGATCAAGAATCATGATGATTGCAATGATGTTCAAAATAATGCTGACTTTGAGGATGTTCTACACACACTTGCATGCCACTCTCAGTAACACGAGTTTTTAGTTGATGAGTGTGAGCATTTGTGGTTACTGTTAGATTTTAAATTTCAAGAAAATATCCTTAGTCTGGAGATCTTAGCTGCTATAATATGAATATTTAAGTATTTAGATATAGTCCAGTTCTTAACATTCTGCCTTGAAAATTCAGATTAATTTTGTAATTTAAAAAATACCACTGTTTTTTGCAAATTTTCTCTTTTTGGAATGCTTTTTCCAAAGGTGTTGGTAATTTAGTAGACAAAGGCAGAATGGAGATGAGGGCCTTCTATAGCATCAAACAAGGAATAGGTGAAGGGAAAGCTTCCATGCTGGGTATTTAAATTCTAGTCAAAATCAGGTTTTAATCATTCTCCCATTTGTTACAAATCATATTAGGTACGGTCCCTTTAAGGCAGAAACTTAAGATATATCTAATATGTAAGAAATGAACTATCGTGAAGATGAGGGAGTATGAAGACCCCTTTTCCCATTCCACATAACTAGATGAAAAGGTATTCACATTATTTCCAGGTAAAGTTCTTAGTCTCCTTCCCTCCTGTATCTCAGTTCCCAGAATAGTTCTTGATAATATTCTCCTAATTGATTGGATGACCTACTGCACAATTGATTTTGATCAGTTAGTTTTATATTTTTGACCGACTTGGAAAAAACAAACTTAGTCTGCTTCTTATTTGACCAATAAATTACAGTTTGACTTAGTACAAACCTTATTACCAAATGGTGTTTGGAACTCTGTTAAAAGAAGTCTATAGAACCCCTCTCCCTCATGAGTTTTCACCTTTGGGGTTGAAGCCATACGTTTCTTTGGAGATTTTTTTATAGTACTGAAGATTGAACTCAGGGCCTTGGTGCTTGCTAGGCAGGTGCTGTACCTATTTGAGTCATGCCCCCAGCCCTTTTTGGAGATTTTTCTTGAAACCCTGGATAACCTATACACCTAAGGTTCTTAAACTTGTCTGCCTTCAGAGTGTGATTAGCACTATTTCATGATTCAGGGATGGTTAACAGTTCCTAGGGTTTCTAGGTTGTTTTTGTTTTGCCTATTTCACTATGTTAGCGTTAAATAGTGGATAAGAGAGTTAAAATTAAGAGTGGTTTTCAGTGAGGACCATATTTCTACTGATTTGAAATGACACCCTTATTCTACACATGGGTCTGTGAGCTTTGTCTTCTGTTAAATTCATCTTAAGCCACTATCTCTCTCTTCCCAAAGTACTGATTATTCTTGTCAGAAGCTTTAGAATCCCTTTTGGATCTTCCCTTCTCTTTCATCCTCCCCAGGGTTTTCCACTGGAATTTTTTTGTTCTTTTCATAGTGCTGGGGATCAAACCCAGGGCCTTGTGCATGCTAGGCAAACACTCAACCACTGAGCTACACTCCCATGCCCAATTATTCTTACGGTAGTTACACTCATTCTAATGTAGCTTCTTTTTGTTTTTCTTTTTGTGGTGGTACTGGGGTTTGAACTTATGGCCTCATGCTTGCTAGGCATGTGTTCTACCTCTTGAGCCACTCCTTTTCTTGTGAACTATTTGCTGGCTTTGAATTACTATCCTCGTCTCTGCCTCCTGAGTAGCTTGGATTACAGGCACCTGTGCCCTCTTCCAATGGAATTGTGATTAAGATAATATTAAACCTTTAGGCTGATATCTTTAAAGTTTAACCTTCCTGTATATTTACTCAGATCTGTGTTCACACTTTAAGTATTTGACTTGGGTGTTTTTATGTACAGTTAATTCATATTCATTGCAAGTGAAACACTTGCAGTCTTACTGGCCTTAGCTGTTATTTAAACATTTCATAATTTTTGCCTCAGGGCCTTTGCAATTGCTGATACTTGTATTTAACTCCTCCCAATTGCATGGTGGTTGCACCTTCTCTGCCCTGAGAAATTAATGGACATTCATGTCCCTACTCAGCTGATGCTCACTCCCTGATCACCTTTAATTAAAACATGGCCCTCCTTCCATCACTGTCCCTTACCCTTCTTTTTCTTTTCTTTTTTTTTTTATTGTTTTACCCTTATTTTTCTTAATAGTACTTGTCAATACTCTGCATTATTCCATACTAGAACATGTCAGTTCTGTGGTCTAATTCCCTACAAATATCTTAGTGTATGGAATTGTTCTTGACACTTAATCGAGTGAATGACCTAGTACACAGTTGATTTTTATATTTGGCAAACCATTAATTAGGCCATATCTGTCAGATTGTTTAGATGAGAGGGTTCTTTCAGGTATATTCTGTGTTTCATTTATAATCTTTAAAGGTATAAAGTCAGGGAAACAATGTATTAACATCAGTCTTACGTATCTTACATCTCAGACAGGTGCTTAGGTTTTCATGTGGACCTCAGGTACCTTAACATAGGTATTGAAGCTATTATTCATGATGTTATCAGTCACTGGTATAGGCAGCCTTGCTATTAAAAATTGCAAAAAAGAAGAAAAGATAAAACAAAAACAAAAACAAAAAGGCCAAAAAGTATTGCAAAAAAGATGAAGTTATCTCTCTTGGGGAGACTTCCAGGAGCAAATGTAGGAAAATCCCAGTTGGCCTTGGAAATTACTATGGAGAGACCTTTGTCAGCACTGTAATTCCCACATCTTCCCTTTACAGGATTCTCTGGAAGAGAGTTACCTTGACTTTTACAGTTTTTAAGATACTTATCTTAATGTTTTACAGGCAGACCCAGTTCCCAATGGTTTGCGAGCATTGCCAGTTTTTTATGCCTGCACTGTTGGAATAAACCTCTTTTCCATCATGTATACTGGAGCACCATGTAAGTGCATGTCAAAATATTAAAATGTGAATTTAAAGTTATTTATAAAACTTGCATTAAATGCCCAATTTACCCCTTTTTGCTTTACAGGGCTGAAATCTTCTAGAAGGTGGCTGGCCTGCGCCCATTTCAGAAGGCTGCAGGCTAGTGTATGCTGAGTTAACCTAGATAGTTTTTCAACCAAAGAGACCTACCTGCTCAGATTCTAAATCACTACAGACCTTTCCTCTTTAGTCTTCACAGGATCCACCGATAATATGACGTTCTCCCTCCCTTTCTCCTATCTGTGCTAAAAATACTGGAATTGATACTGACTTCAACTATGAAGAGTCATTAGTTATGTCTTTTTCAATGATTGGTCATTTAGGACTGGTTTGCTGGATACTATTTTTCTCTCCCAAATGGAGTACTTTAGTTTCGAGGTCCTAAATTTCCTCCCCTGAATCTGCTTGAATGAGAAGAGTTGGGATGTTTAACTCCTGGTCTTAAACTTACTTGGAAGAATTCATGTAGCTAAGAGGAAAAATAATTTGTGAGAATATAAAGGTTGAAATGTTGATTTCTTTCATATTGGGATTAAGGAAAGCCTTAAATTATGGTGCTACATGTTTCATTGAGCAACTATGAGAGATTGATAACTTGTGTCTTGTTAGGCAGGATAGTACAGTTTTGGCCTCTAGGCTCATTTTAGCTTGATGGTACTTGACTGAGTTGGTGCCTTTTGATGTTTTGTCTGTGGCCAACTGGAAGCAGTGTGTGGTTGCTGCCCAGGGCATAACATACAAACATATATGTGTGTTTCTGTATGCATACGTGTACAGCATATATGTGTATGACTTTACTATGTGCCATGTACTCATATTTTCGATTCTTTTAAAAAGTTTTTAATTCTTACTGTGGCCAATTAAGTTGATTTCATTTGTGACTAATGGATTGTGACTTGATTTAAATTTCATTAAGTATGGTAAGTCACTGACCAAAAGTGGAGCCAGCAAAGTATTTTTAACTTTGATTTTATTCTTGGAATATTCTTTCCTTCTGAAAGAAATGGATGACTATGAGATTATTGGTCTTGGAGGATACCAGACTTGGTATCAAGTGGTGCAGGTGAAGGACTTTTATGCAGGATTTCCATTCTGTTGTAAATTGAGTTCTTCATGCTAAACTTAAAATCTTCCCTGAGGTGCTAAGCACTTATGGTGTATGTGGTGGTAGTGGCAAAGTTCATAGTTAAGATTAGAAACTTAAATTTTCAATTATATTTGAAATGAGAACTTTGATATTTTTGTTCTGTCCTTTATGGATCATTTTAAAAAAACAAACCCACCAATCTCTTTCATTTCTCCTTTTGACTTGGAATATAGCAAATTTAAATTGTGATAGAGATTGATTAAATTATATTTTGGCTTACATGACTAATGTCAAAATTGAAAGCAGAAATTAAAATGAAAAGATAGTCATCATAGAACTGTAGCTTTAAAGGACCTCAGTTTACATCTAATTCTTACAGGTTATTTTGACAGGGCAATAGAATTTTCATTTTGTAAGTAACTTAAAACCTGTTAAGCAAAATAATGCAAAACATCAAGAAGTAACCAGGCTGTTGTCAGAACTGTAGGTCATGTGACATCTCCTAGGATTAGTTAGAATTGTTTGGTGCTTTCCTTCTGTCTTTAGTATCAACTAGTAGTTTAGAGCCTATTGGCATGCACGTGGCAAGCAGATAATGACTACATACCCATCCTTGAGCCTTGGGAATAGTATTGGTGGGAAATAGTATTTCTTTTAAAGAAATAAAAAAAATAGTATTTCTTTTTAAGATGACTTATTAGTGACTACCACTAAACTTTTCTTTCCCTTTTGAAAGACAGCTGTTTAAACTACTCTTTAAGCTATTATCGTCCCATAGATAATATCCCTGATTTCTTTATTTTAGTTTGATAATATTTTTGAAGAAATAATTAGGAATTTACTGAGGGCTAGTACAATGAACATGTTAACTTTTCCAGAGAATTATTTCAGCATGATGAATGTGACTAGTGGAGTGGGGAGGGGCACTTTGCTTTTTAAACATTAAAATAAACTGGTATGTGCAAATGTAGTATGTGGCAGTTAGAATCAGGAGCTGGTGGAGAGAGCAGTGCTAGAATGTGAAAATGCCAGAGACACTTCTGAGTCAGCAGGTGTTTCAGTGGACCAGACTGATGTGAATTTAAGATGATCATTGGGGTTTTCTTTCAGATGTATGTAGCCACCGATGTTGTAAACCCTGAAATGAAAGCTAGCAGGAGCTGTCATGGGTAATGGGCTGGCTTGGGGAAGTGCTCCATCCCCACAGGAGGGTTTACACATTATTGCAGGGGGCTGTTGCCCTGGGGTTTTCAAGATGCACCATTTTATCTCCTAGTGCTGGGCTTTGACAAACTTCCTCTGTGGGGTACCATTCTCATCTCGGTGGGATGTGCCGTTTTCTGTGCCCTTATCGTCTGGTTGTTTGTGTGTCCCAGGATGAAGAGAAAAATTGAACGTAAGTAATAACATGTAACAGAAAAGTTTAACTAGTAATGTGTATACTTTTTGTTTGGCCAGCTGTAGAAATCCACTAATTGGATAGATTGGCAATGTTAAGAGTTTTTTATGAAAATTTGAGAATATGGATTTGTCGTTTAAACTATGTCTTAAATGGACATAAAATGACCCAAGGCACCTCGTTGTTAATATTTGATAGCTAGGCTCTGGTGTCTCATGCCTGTAGTCCTAGCTACTTGGGAGACTGAGATTTTGAGGATTGTGGTTTGAGGCCAGCCAGGGCAAATAGGTTGCGAGACCCCATCTCCAAAATAACCAGAGCAGAATGGAATGGAAGTGTGGCTCAAGTGATAGAGTGCCTCCCTTGCAAGGACAAAACCCTCAGTTCCATCTGTCCCACCAATAATAATAACAATTATTGTTGACCTGTGTAGGAGAGAGAAGCTAGAAATTTGTTCTTTAGTAAAATTCAGTTGCCAGTGTCATGGTAAGTATAGAGAAAAATTTAGTCTACATTAGTTGAGAAGTATAAGGATATCTTGATGAAAAAGTAAGGGTTAGGCACAAATCTTCATACAAGAATTAGTTACTCCAGCTACTTGTATATAATTTCAGATTCAAGCAAATCCAAATCTGATGTTTGTCTAATCTTAGATGTAAATATATGTATATGTTAAAATACATGTATACATTATAGTACCAATGCACTGTACAGCATAAACATGTAAATGCATGTTGTTTTGTGCTAGAGTTGTAGGCATGAATTCTAGAAGTAAACATTTTCAGGTGTGTGAAGGAATCATTTAGGCTATTACAGAACAAATTTATAGTGTAAATTTTCATTGCTACTACTCTTAAATCTTATATTCCTTATTAACTGAGGTCTCTGAGAAGAATCATTTTCTGCCCTTTTTATCCATGCAGATGCTATGTTAATGATGTATAGCTTATTCTCAGCAGTGGAGTGATGCATAAACTGTAGTGGGGTTAGGAAGAATGCTGCGTCATTGCAGCTGAACTGAGGAGCCTCTAAGAGGCACTGTGCTAGTCTGCTGTGCTGCATCCACAGTGGGAAGGAGGCTTTCAGGACTGCCTGACCTTGTATTTCCCTCTGTCTGGAAGAAGAGACAAATCTTGCTTTAATGCTAGTCTAGTTTGACTGAGATGCCTGAACTGTTAGGTAAACATGGTGAGCGCTAGCCTGCTGGGCAGAAACTATGTGGCCATGGGATTTAGAACTATAAGGCAAGTTTTCTTTGTTTTGTAGAGGTGGATGTTGCCTGCATTCATCTGTCCCCTTTCTTAACTCTTGAACTGAGATATGGGATGTTCTTTTAAAAAAAAAAAAAAAGAATTAGGGTCAGTCTCATTCTTCAGTTGACTGTCATCCCCAAACTTGAGCTACCTTCCACTATAGGGAGCAAAACTTGTAAAGTGTTGTAAAAATAAAAGCCAAGAAAATGGATCTAGGGCTCTTAAACCTGGTCTTTATAGCAAAAGTTTGCAACTCCTGGTAAGAGTGTGTGCTGCATTGCTGGCTTGTTCCCAAGTGAAAGATGATTTACTGAAATAATAAAACAAAATTTATCATGAATTTTAACATCTGTTCATGAACATATATTCTTACTTTGAGATGAATTTTTGGGGGTGAGAGAAAAGGAGGCAAGGTAGTTTGGTCAAAAGCAAACCCAGCCCTGCCTGCCCCCCCCCCTTTTTCTTTTCCTAGGAGAAATAAAGTCTAGTCCTTCTGAAAGCCCCTTAATGGAAAAAAAGAACAGCTTAAAAGAAGACCATGAAGAAATAAAGTTGTCCCTTGGTGATACTGAAAACAGGAATCCTATTTCTGAGGTAGGGTCTGCCACTGTGCCCCTCCGGGCTGTAGTGGAAGAGAGAATAGTGTCATTCAAACTTGGAGACCTGGAGGAAGCTCCAGAGCGAGAGAGGCTTCCTAGTGTGGACCTGAAAGAGGAGACCAGCATAGACAGCACCGTGAATGGTGAGTTGACACTCAAGAGTTTCACTCTGTTCTGTAGTGGTGAGGATGCTACTATTTTGGACTTGATGCTCTTTGTATTGAAAGTTACATTTTTGGTCTTGGCTAGGTGCAGTACAGCTGCCTAATGGGAACCTTGTTCAGTTCAGTCAAGCCGTCAGTAACCAGATAAACTCCAGTGGTCACTATCAGTATCACACTGTGCATAAAGATTCTGGCTTGTACAAAGAGCTGCTCCATAAATTACATCTGGCCAAGGTGGGAGACTGCATGGGAGACTCTGGTGACAAGCCTTTGAGGCGCAATAATAGCTACACTTCCTATACTATGGCAATTTGTGGCATGCCCCTGGATTCATTCCGTGCCAAAGAAGGTGAACAGAAGGGAGAAGAAATGGAGAAGTTGACATGGCCTAATGCAGACACCAAGAAGCGAATTCGAATGGATAGTTACACCAGTTACTGCAATGCTGTGTCTGACCTTCACTCAGCATCTGAGATGGACATGAGTGTCAAGGCTGAGATGGGTCTGGGTGACAGGAAAGGAAGTAGTGGCTCTCTGGAAGAGTGGTGTGATCAGGATAAGCCTGAAGTCTCCCTTCTCTTCCAGTTCCTGCAGATCCTTACAGCCTGCTTTGGATCATTTGCTCATGGTGGCAATGACGTCAGGTCAGTCCCTTGGAATCTTAGTGTTGCTCAGTTCATGTTTAACAGGTCTTACCCTTCTTACATGCTTGTGGTAGTGCTCTTCTTGTTTTATTTTTTTAATCTTTTGTTTGTGACCCACTGAAGAAATAAATTGTATGTTACTGCCCAGAGCACACATGTATATGTGTATTTCTGTATTCATACTATATTCATATATAACATATATATGTATGTATGACTTTACTATGTGCCATGTGCTCATATTTTAAAATACTCTTTTTAAAATTTTTAATTCTTACGTGGCCCATTAAATTGATTTCATTTCTCATTAATGGGACACTGAATAGACAGAATGAGGTAGTAGTAGTTACTGATTTAATAAAACAGTGGGATTTTATTCTGTAGAGAGTATGAGTATGTTTTTAGCTTTATTTCTATACATGATAAATAAAAACAGATGTCTTGCACAGAGAAACCTTTTTCCAGATGGGATCTAGGTTTTTGATTGTGAATTGTGGGGTATAAGATAAAAAACTTACAATTACTGACTGCCCTGTTGACTGAATTTATGGGGCTACTAAGACTCACTTCTGTGGTCTGTATACTTTATCGGACTTAAGAGTGCTTTAAGCTATGTATAGGAGAAAGAGGCACCCAAGTGTATGGTATTCTACAAGTAACACTTTTTTTCTGTTGTGTATGTTGGGGTTCTGTAGGCTCATTTGGTAAATGAGCTTTAAAACCAGGCTTTACATAACTGAGTATGGATCTTGCCAAGAATATTCCCTGGTGTAAGTCATCTTTGCCTTTTTTTTCCAGCAATGCCATTGGTCCTCTGGTTGCTTTGTTTCTAGTTTATGAAACAGGGAACATGTCTTCAAACAGGGCGACACCAATATGGCTTCTACTGTATGGTGGTGTTGGCATCTGTATCGGGCTATGGGTTTGGGGAAGGAGAGTTATCCAGACCATGGGAAAGGATCTTACACCAATTACACCCTCTAGGTGAGTAGGTAAAGCAGGTATGAGACAAGATACTGTTCATTTTTCAAGAGACAAAATACTTTATAGTGCTAATACACAAGTCTAGGTAAAGTAACCAGGTTTTTTATGCTATTCTCAGTGTTGATATGAATGAACCTTTGCAACTTACTGTCTGGCTGAAAACATTTTGGTCAAAGTTTAACTACTCAGCTTCAGTGGTCTCTGTAACAATTTTTTTGAGAAAGACATGAACTAAGAGTGGATAGCTATATGTACTTGGCTGTATTTGTAGCTAAGGCTGATACTCACAAATTCTTCAAAGTAAAAGTACAAATTTATTTAATAATGAAATAAAAAGCATCTACCCTCAAATGTTGTTAGAGAACAGAGAAAAGGCAGTCCTATGGCCTAATTTAAAATAGATTTCAGAGGTTATAGCAAATAAAGATGTCAGGAGGTTTTGTGACTGAGTAGTGTAAAGCAGAATTGTGTTAACTTGAGGTAGTGTTAGCTTATCAACCCCCCCCCCCACCTAAATTCTTGACAATCTTTTTTTCTCTATAGTGGCTTCAGTATTGAACTGGCATCTGCCCTCACTGTGGTAATTGCATCAAACATTGGCCTTCCCATCAGCACAACACATTGTAAAGTAAGTGTCATGTAAATTTAATGTGTCTTTCAAAAGGCTCTAGTAATATGGGTGTTTTTAAATTTTTTCTTTGATTTTAAAAAGTTTTGTGTAGATGGAGTCTTAAATAGGTCACAAGTTTAGAACAAGTGACTATAACAATAAAGGCTTACCTTTAATAATTTCTTTAAATTTTCTGATGTAGTGCTAGTGATGAGTTCTGACTGCTGGCCCTCTTCCTTTGTCACCTAATTCTCTGTCATGGCAGTCATTTTATGGTGATTTTGATATTTAGTCATTTCTACTTTTAGCACCATTATGTTCTTTTTCTGTGGAAAAGCCTTCCAGAGCAAGGATGTGTGCTAATAAACTGGCTAGCTGTTCAGTTCTGACTGGTGGGCTGTTGTTACTACTCCAGTGGCTGGTGCCTGGTTTTGCACGTTTGTGAGGCTTGTTGAACTGTTGGAAAGGGAGCATGTATTCAAGGCCCTTAAGTACTATAGTCCTGAAAATTTACTATTATAAGCAGCACAAACCATGTGCCAATGGCTCACGCCTCTAATCCTAGCATTCAGAAGGCAGAGATCAAGAGGATTGTGATTTGAATCCAGTCCAGGCAAATAGTTCATGAGACCCTATCTCAAAAAAGCTCTTCAAAAAAAGGGCTGGTGGAGTGACTCAAGCTCTGGAGTTTAAACCCCAGAATAGAAGAAAAAAGAAAGGTAGTACACCCGCATTAAATTCTAGTAGCTTAGAGAGGAAAAAGACATGTTACATCATTTTAGTACACTTAGCACAGATTTAATGATTGGATTTCTCCATTGGCCTTCATCTTCCAATGAGTAACTTTAACTGGTTCAGAAAGGAGGTTTTGACTGGATGTGGTGATGCTGCCAGTAATCTCAGCACTTGGGTAAAGGCATGAAGATAGGGAGTTTGAGCCAGCCTGGGCTGCATAGTGAGACTTGTCTTCAAAAGACAATAAAAAGTGGAATTGACCTTGTTCAGTTGTCTGGGGCTCCTTGTCTGAAGAGCTTCAGGTACTTTTTGCTAAAGTACTTCTGGCACTTGAGTAAAGTTTCTTTGGTCTGTTTCTTTCCTAGGTGGGCTCTGTTGTATCTGTTGGCTGGCTCCGATCCAAGAAAGCTGTTGACTGGAGACTTTTCCGAAACATTTTTATGGCCTGGTTTGTCACGGTTCCCATCTCTGGTGTGATCAGTGCTGCTATCATGGCAGTTTTCAAATATCTCATCCTCAGAGTGTGAAGCCAAGATTAAAATTCGTGTCAATGTTTGGAACCACCTTGTACATTCCTGCTCCCTTGAAGAATGATTGCAGTGTTAATGAGTCTTAAAATTTGGGAGCTGTGGGAGGGAAGGTGTTACTTATGCTATAATTGCTTTTGTGCTGAATAGAAATCTCAAAATTAGCTATGTAAAATACCCAGGTTTCCACTGGTCCCTACTAAGGGCCCCTTTCCTTCTGGGCTGTGAATTCCTGTACATACTTCTCTACTTTTGTATCAGGCTTCAATTCCATTATGTTTTAATGTTGTCTTTAAAGATAACTTGTGTGGGTTTTTTGTTTTTTGTTTTTCTTTTAACAACCAAGCAGAGCCATTTGACAGAATATACTCTGCTTTGTTGATTTCACCAGCTTCTGCCCGAACATGCACAGGGATTTAACAACAAAACATGTAACTAAAGCCTCCCTTGTAGTCTCTTATAGAAGTGGAGTCATTGGCACTCTGCCCTCCTGTCAGTGGTGACAGGTTTGTTGACATGTGGGAACTTCTTAGATGAGGTTCTGTGGGTACAGTGAAAATTTAAGTTAGTTACGTCTTTGCAAGCAATCCATTGATTTACTGCTAAGAAGTAGTAAGAAAAGGCCTTTTGGCATTTGTGATTATTTCTTTTAAGATTTCTGGCAATGTGGTATGGGTGAATGAAGTGGAATATGAACTTTGGGCAAATAAAATGGGACAGCCTTCCATGTTCATCTGTCTACCTCTTAACTGAATAAAAAGCCTACAGTTTTTAAAAAATTTGTTCTCATGGTTTTGTTCATATTTGAATCCTCCAGGCTCCTGATTAGTTAGCCTTATGATATTCTTCCAAGTATGTATTAGCTGTGCAAGTGGATGCTCCCAATACAACTCCAAGTTCCCCACTCTCATGTTACTTGTGATCTCAGGAATGTGCATGACATTTCTTGGATAAGTAGCAACTTGGTGCTTTTAATAGTACAGCCTAAACATTTTCATGTTAGCATGTATTTCATTGATTTTGTTTCTAGCTTTGATAGTATAAAGGAAGCTGAAATGAGTTTCACTCATGTGTATGAAACTCAACTTTTAAGAATTCTCAAGTTGGGGTTCTTCAGTTTTGCCCTATTATCTCTTTACCCATTATCAGAACAACTAATGAAGAATGAGGCAGGAGAGTCACAAAGTTCAAGGCCAGCCTTGGCTACCTTAGGAGGTTGTGTTTCCAAAAAAGGAAAAAAAAGTTTATGAAAAAGTGTATGTCTTTGCAAACTAGGTTGGTGGTTCCTGTCCTCCAAGACTTGTGACAGTGCTTTTGAATTTTTGAGTTTATTTCGAGTATTTTAATAAAAACCACCACTAAGACTACAGTGGGATAAGATTATGCCTAGTCTGACCTGTACCTGAGAGAGTTTAGGCCACTGGGCAGGGTGCATGTCATTGTATCTTGTCAGTTGAATGGTCTCCCTGAAGAGTTCAGTAAATGCTTATAGTATACAGTAAATGTTAGTATCAGACATAGTAGTAAACTTTTACATACACTCAGTCCTTGTGACTTGTGGTAGGTCTTCCCTTTAGTTTGTAGATAATGAGGCAGGTCTAAAGAACCTCAGTACTTACCCAGTCAATATTGCATGTTAGCAGAGAATGGACATTAGTGGTAGGCTCTGAAGCTGGTTGAAAATAGCTTTATAACTTTAAAGAAGGGCAAACAGCGTTAAACCTTGAGCTGATTAGGAGGAGACCTGCTGAGTTCTGGTACTGACCTCCCCACTTGCTTGCTGTATGGCCTCATATAATAAGCCCAGGTCTTCCAGAGAGAGCCCTGTCATTAAACAGAGAACAGTAGCCTCCCCAGCATCTTCCTTTTAGAAAGTTGTCAGACCAAAATGTGTTTCTGCAGGAACAACTAGACGTGAGGAAGGAGGAACCCCCAGAGTTAGGAGTAACCAGAGTTTGTGTTTTCATAGTGATATCTATGGTGAGGGAGAGCCACATGTTGGTTAACCCTGGCTTATTTTTCTTGGGCATAGGTGTTGCTCTTTCTTAACAAAAAAAGACAAGCAAAGCCTCTCCACAAGGTCACGTGTGTTTATAGAAGAGTCAGGTAGTTCTAAGACTAAACAAAACCCCCATCTTTGCTACCATGTCTCCTTTCTGAGGTAACAAATTATTTTGGTGTTTGCCACTTTGTATCTAAATAATATATTTGTGTTACTATTTTACCCTTTCATCTTTTGGCCTAACGTGTATTAGGTGACACTTGTGGGGCTAAAGGCCCTTTGGGTTGGGCAGTGTTTCTCAACTAGGGATGATTTTTACTCTCCCAGTTCCCGTATGTGATGATATTTGGACAAGTTTTTGGTACAATTGGGAGATGCTACTAGAGATGTTATGAACATCCCAAAGTGCTCAGCACTACTGAGGTTGAGAAATCCTGATGGATGCTCTAGTTGAGTCATTTCCTTACATAACCCCAGAGAAGACTGGGACAAAAGTTCAACTGCTCAAAAGTTGTGAGGCTTAGTAAAGGGAGTGGCCCACCATTTATTTTAACCTTGTTTTCAGTGTAGGCAGACCTTACTTTGTGCAGCTGTGATATGCGTGGACTTCACAGTTACCATGGTTTAGGTAAATAATACCAGTCCTCAACAACACACTTCATATTTCAGTTACCTCGGGATTTTCACTGAGTAATTCCATGAAGTGCAGACTTAAATGCTAGCTCTTCAGTTCCCGGATCACATTTAGAAAACAGGAGCTGCACATCGTGATCAGTGATCTAGCACTTCTTTCAAAGTCTGTTGGTGATTGGTTTCTGTGCGTGTGTTAATTGTTTCACTCGAAGATAACAAAGCTTTTGGTTGAGCTGCCTCCTAATCTCCCAGTTGTAGAGATACTAGGCTAACATTGTTGAAACTGCTGCTAGGTTTTCCTCCTAGTTTTTCTGGAGGCTTGAATGAACTTATAAAAGTCTTTATCATCAAACAACTTTCATTAATCCAACAATTGGATAGAGGTTCTTTCTTTTTTTTTCTTTTTTTTTTTTTTGGTGGTGTTGAGGGTTGAACTCTTCTAGGCTGAGTTCAACCCTCAACACCACCAAAAAAAAAAAAAGAGAAAATCTCTATTTGAGCCATGCTCCTAACCCGAGGCCCTCCATTTTTAAAGCTTACTATCATAATAGTAACTTTTGGGTAGACTATTCGTGCTACATCTAGGGGTCTTGAAATTTCTTTAGCTGAGGTTGGAAAATATGAAAGCATGGTGGAAATTAATGGTAATATTCAGTGTTGCAGAAACTTTACTGCATATGTTTGCAGAATTTAAGTTATACATATTTGAAGACTGAACAGGCAGCTGTTTGAGGGAGTCTACATAATCAGCCAGAGGAACTTAGTGAAGATAACCTTATTAACAAAAAAAAGGGAAATGATTATGATGAAAGAATGCAGATGTCCCAGAGGAAGTGATGCTGGCCGAAACTTCACAATACAGGACCTCTCAGATATTTCACAACAAAGCATAAAATGTTGGAAACTGATAGAAAAATGGTGCCAATATTTCCAGTGTCTTAAATCACAGTGCACTAAATAAGTAGTAGTTGGCCATTTTTTTCCCTGTATATTTATGAAAGTTTTTAATGTTTAAACAAGATTTTAAAGTAGGTCAACTACATTTCCCTGCCATAGACCCCTTTGCATGGCACAAGCTTGCATGGTCATTTTTATGGTTCCACACTTTGTGTGCAGAGTCAAGATGCCTGTGTATTACTTGTCCTCATTTCTTCCTGCCATTCACCAATCCACAGACCGTAATATAGTATGCTTCCAGCCACATGGAAGATGGACACATAACTCTGCAATAAGGGGGAAAGGATCTGTGGGCTTAGCTGCTGTTGCTTTAAAAAAAAAAAAAATTCATGGAGGTTGGCCCAGGCAGAAAGTGTGAGATCCTATCCATGTATTATGTACCCATCATCCCCCTCCAACCAGCTCCAAGGACTCCAAGGACAATTAGCTTTTTGCTATTTTGTTTCCATCCTTTCCTCTTCCTCCTACTTAATTTTTTTAAAAGTATTTTAAAGCAAATTCCAATACAACTTGCATGTAAAATACTTCAAGATATATCTGAGTGGTTTTCTTTAAATGTTACCATAATACATTATTGCATCCAATAAAATTGATAGTAATTCTGTAATTATCATGTAATACCCCATCTGCTCTAACTGCTTTTTAGATATTCAGTCTTTCTGGTTTTAACCTTTTCATCATCTCTTCCGGCTGCCTGGGTCTCCAATTTCTGAGCCTTCGAGTGGCCTGGTTCAGCTTCAGCCTTCCTGGATCTGCCAAGTCTGTTTCCATCTGCTGTCTAGCTTCCACAGCTCTGTGACTTTGTCTCCATGCCTATTCACTATGCCTCTGCAATATTCTCTACTGCCAGTTTTGTGATGCTTCGGAAGAAGTGAAGGTGAATGTTTTAATCTGTGTTTAGAAATCTTTTGACTATTTGATATTTTACTAGTATTTCTAAAGTGAAAATTTTATTGAAACATTTACATTGAAGAAAAAATTTTAACAATTAGGTGTAGAAAGAGAATGAAAGAATGTCATTGGCTTTCCCTTTTCCCAGTATCCAAAGGAAACCATTGTCAACAGTTTGCATATCTTTTAGGAATTTTGCCTATACATATATGTACCTATGCACACACACTTACCTGCAGAATTGCTTCTGAGAGATGAAGCTATTTATTTGATAAAGTCCCCTTGGTGTCTAGAAGTTAGATGGTTTCATTCCTAGAATAAATATTGAACCACCTGGCTAATCTACTATAGGAGCCGAGACTAGATGGATGTTGCACAATCATGCTTGTGCTTACTTGCAAGTTGCCATAAATGTTGCAAGCTGGGCTAAAACTGGTCCAAGTGAGTGCTTTGAATAATTCTTTTCCTGATTGGCAGAAAATAAAAGGATTTTTTTGTCTCTCTGTGCCTCACTCTTTTACCTTCAGGCCATATAAAACTGCTTAAAGACCAAAGGTGATGAAGTTAAGACTTGCTCATTAAAAGCTGGCCGTGGTGTTCCCTGTAAAGCCTTGTGGTATGGGGATGGCTGGTGTATTGAAGCCCTTCCTCTTTTGTAATGTTTGTTCAGGGTATAAGATGTTTGCAGATGTCTTAGCTGCCTGTGGTTTTCACCAAAATCTTGTTTAGTGTTCCAAATTTCTCGATGAGGTCACTGAACTCATTCCCCATGCTGTGAAAATTGTTTCTCTCTCTCTTTCACATTTGTTTCTGCTTTTCTTTTTCACCTGGACTGAGCTATCTAGATTCTAATTTAACTTTCCATTGTTTTAAAACCTGAGATGCAATGAGATTTGGAAAACTGAGACAGGATAGCTAGATTATGGAGGTGCTCATACCAAAATTACTTTTGTGATAGATGGATACTTAAGACTTTATTAGTAGATTTCTAAAATAAGTACTAAAATGAAACACTGGGACTGCTCATTGGCGGTAGTACTTGCCTTCCTAGTGACTGGGCTTTCGCGTGAACCCCTTTTGTGATATTCAGAGTTGATACTGGATTTCTTAGTCTCTCAGAAACACTGCAATACAGTGCAGAAAGCTTTTTAAAAGGAGAAGAATGGTTATTTTCTGGGAAATGGTAGCAAGGTCTCCCCTCCCAGGGTATTATTGCTGAAGACCTAGATAGCAGGTCTCCACTTCCATTCATTCTATTTCTGGAAGCAAGCAAATGTTCTCTAATTGCAGACTTGCTCTGAACGCCTCAGCAGTGTTTCCCACTATGCTAATTGGAAAAATATAATTTTCAACTGTGTGCTGCTTTGCAAAATAATAGTTGGCAGCTAAGTTGCAAGTTCAGTTCCTAAAGTGAACTAGTACTTTGTAGCTTAGCACCAAGAGTAATGGACCTTTGGAAATCTCATGGAGAGCTCATGCAGTGTACAGGGACCATTGGAAAACTAACATCAGCCTCAGAACAAGTACCTATTGACTTCATGTCTTTTTTTAGGAGCCTTTATTAAATTTATTTATAAATTTATATATTTATAAATTTAATTTATTAAATTTAATAAAATTTGGGGGGTGTTTCTGGGCATATTAGTCAATACTGCCCATTAATTGAACAGTC